CAACTACAACGTACAACATACAACAAACAACATACATCATACAACTACAACATACAACTACAACATACGACTACAACATACAACTACAACATACAACATTCAACTACAACATTCAACTACAACATACAACTACAACATACAACATACAACATACAACTACAACATACAACATTCAACTACAACATACAACTACAACATACAACTACAACATTCAACTACAACATACAACTACAACATACAACTACAACGTACAACATAGAACATACAGCTACAGCACAACGTACAACTACAACATACGACTACAACATACAACTACAACGTACAACATACAACAAACAACATACATCATACAACTACAACATACAACTACAACATACGACTACAACATACAACTACAACATACAACATTCAACTACAACATTCAACTACAACATACAACTACAACATACAACATACAACATACAACTACAACATACAACATTCAACTACAACATACAACTACAACATACAACTACAACATTCAACTACAACATACAACTACAACATACAACTACAACGTACAACATAGAACATACAGCTACAACACAACGTACAACTACAACATACGACTACAACATACAACTACAACGTACAACATACAACAAACAACATACATCATACAACTACAACATACAACTACAACATACGACTACAACATACAACTGCAACATACGACATACAACATACAACTACAACGTACGACATACAACATACAACTGCAACATACAACATACAACTACAACGTACGACATACAACACACAACTACAACATACAACTACAACATACGACATACAACATACAACATACGACTACAACATACAACTACAACGTACAACATACAACATACGACATACAACATACAACTACAACATACAACACACAACTACAACACACAAGTACAACATACAACTACAACATACAACATACAAGTACAACATACAACTACAACATACAACATACAACTACAACATACGACTACGACATACAACTGCAACATACAACATACAACATACAACTACAATGTACGACATTCAACATACAACTACAACATACAACTACAACGTACAACATACAACATACAACATACGACATACAACATACAACATACGACATACAACATACGACATACAACATACGACATACAACATACAACTACAACGTACAACATACGATGTGCAACATACAACATACAACTACAACGTACAACATACGACATACAA